AATTCGTAGAAATTCGTCTCGAACCGTCCTAATTTGAAAATGTCGCACTGGGCGCAACATGCACAAGCACTCTGGATTTTGGCGCATCATGCGCCAAACCCCAAAATTGGTTGGTTTTGCTCTAAATTTCGCTCTTTGTTATTTCTGCTTCAAATGCCTAAAAATGATATACCTGTAGCAAAAACTTATAAATATATTTCTTTAATGTGCAATATCAATCACAAAAAATAGCATAAAAATGGTACTTAAAACGGTATATTATTTTTGTGGATCAATGCTCTATAGGGTTCATCCTATAATGGAAAAAGTTAGAAAATTATAAACTTAGGAATAACTCAATGATATTTTGAATGGACCTAAGAAGGGACAAGTTATTAAGTAGTTCACAAGGTAAATTTCACTAAACATAGTAAGAATATGTGAGACCATAACATGTATGAGAATCTCACTAAAATAAGTTGGCATTTCCTTCACATGCAATAATTATATGGATTGTAAATAAAAAAATTTCCTTTTTTATAGTTTCAAATCCAACATTTTCTTCTTTTGGAGTTAATAAAGTAGATTAGACAGTAGTGTTAGAATCAAGATAAAAAAATGAAAGACTAAACCATAATAATAAGATTTCTTATAAGCATCAATTGAAGCATAACACCTTTCTTTAGAATGGGTTTGATTATAGATCAAAGTTGATTTTATGAGATACCATAGTGGATGTATTCTTAAGAGATTTAATAGGAAGAAGTTTCACTGTGTTATTACTATGTTTAATGAAATAATTATTTTTCCTATCATAGTGGATCACAATTGAGACATTCAACTAGAGTTTACCTAATAAAATAGGAACAATGTCTATTGAGAAGACATCACACCAAATTTGGTCATCATAATTGCTCATTTCTATCGGAATACGACACCTACTTGTGATGGACAAAGGTATATGATTAACCCAACTAACATGAAAGGATTTTGAGAGTGGTTTAATAATGGTATAGGTTAAGTTTACATTCATTCAATTTCCTCTATCTATAACTACCATACAAATATTCTCATTACAAACAATATACTTACTAAAAAATTCTTTCTCAAATCCTCTATTCTATTTTTCTAAATTGTTAAACATCTCAATACATTTATTGGAAGGTTAGTATTGAGCATTAGAACGTTATCAGAAAGAGGTATGCTATCATAAACATCTTTCATATCATAATTTATGGGATTACTAATTTGTCTTAGGAAAATTATACGGCTTTACAATGATTTTGTATATAACTCATTATATGACATTTGAAATAAGTTCTCTTTATTATTATTAGAAATCTCATCTGTAGAAGCATCGACAATTGGATTTTTTTCTAATATGTGGGGTGATTCTAATAATATAGGATAAAGTGAAGGGGGTTTATTCTCTTAAATTTGAAAGAGTAGATTTTTTTTGTTCGTTATCAACAAAGCATAATGGAAGGTCTCCTATATAGTTTGAGGATCAAATAACTCAACTTTACTTTTAATATTTACCTTATGACCAACGATAAATTTATTAGATAATTATCCATTATTATTTTTGTATTTGTCCTTGTAATCTATTCATTAAAAGTGTTTAAATATTGAGTTATAGAGAGACTGTATTATCTGGAAGTGAATGATTATAGATATAATTTCTTATCATGTTTCTTAGGATAATATTTAGTTCTTATATCTCCATCATTTTAATCTATTACCTTAGATATTATTCTAATAAAATTTGTCATGTTTAGTGTATTTCATTTGGATAATATAACTCATTAGTTCCATCTTATGCTAGTAAAAAAATCATCCATTTAAACTAACCAATCTAAGATTCTATTAAGGTTATGCATGGCATTATAGGAGGGAATTTTAATTTTAACCATCTTAGAAAAGCTATTAAAGTCATCATTATTCCAATTAAAATGGTCTCTTTTACCTCCATTTCTAGGATTAGATTGTCCCTTATAGAGTTGGTCTTCTCCTAGCTTTAGGCATGAATCAACTTCTTATAATGATGGGATATGAGTTCGGATAAGAGATGTGAAAGGATGTTTATTATTTTGAAAAGACTTTGTATTACTTCCACTTGATCTCTTAATTATCACATTTAGCTTCTAGTATGAAACAATTCATTAATCCTAATATCATTCTTATGAACTCAAATGTTTACAGAGTAAATTCAAGTTGAGTTTTTAGTTTGGCCATTAAAAATTAATTTCCATGTCAAGATATGATGCCACTTAATTGAACTCTCTCTTGTACTCTTGCTTGAGCTCTCATACATAAACTTCTAACTTCATTCACTACCTGATATACCATATCTACAAGTCCCTAATTTACTCTAGCTCTTAAATTTTTTTCCCTTCTTATTTGAACAATTCTAGACCTTAAATTAGGGTTTGTTTGGAGCAGCTGTAGCTTATCCAGCTTCTGCTGATAAGCAGCTTATCCTGATAATCTGCTGATGACCA